CTAAGCGGGCGGCGCGAAGCTTGAACTAACGAGAGGGGGGCAGAAGGAGGGGCCGCACATCAAGGCCAGGAGGGGGCGAAGCCCCGGAATCAGGCGGTGCCGAGGACGAAGTGCTTGCAAAGGAACGCCTTGGACAGGAACACAGAACCCCAAACATGCGACGTCCTGATTTTTTCAGAACGGCGTCCCTGGAAGTCCCGACCCTTTTCCCCGGGACCGGCCTTCCGTCCCGAGTCGTCTTCTGACGGCCCCGAGGCCCGGCGAGGGCCCCCCAGGGGGCCGAAAGCGGCCAGAGACCTCCCGCCCTGCTTCTCTCACGACGCGATCACGTCTGGGAACCGTCCGTCGCAGTGCTCTTCACCACGCGAGGGACGTCAGGGTCTTTGGACACCCGAAATAGGCACGGAAAAAATGGGTACAATGCCCAACCACAAATGCTGTCCCAAACCAACAGCGGCCGCTGTTGGGCAGGCGGCCTTCTGTCTCGAATAGCCACAGGCCGCGGCGGCGTGGACAGCGAATCCTGTTCAAAATGAACAGGAACTGCTGTTGGGCATTGTGCCCAGTCTTTCCGTACCCATTTCGAGCGTCTTGAGGGTCTGCGCCGTGGCGACGGGTGCGCACTGGCCGCGGCCCGTCGGCGCGCGCTGGCTGCTGTTGCTCGGGTCGCGCCGCGGGCCTGCGGAGGGTCGGCGAGTATATCGGGCACCCCCCTTAGGGGCGCGCTCTCGGCAGAGCGCAGCTGCTGCCGGAGCGCACCCCGCGGCCGCGCCAAAAGCTGCGCCGAGGAGCGGCGAGGACGTCCGAAGGCCTCGAACCGCGAGCCTGGACCTATTCGGGGGTGTCCAAGCGAGGGGCGCGTGCACGAGGAGAGCTCGCAAGCCCGAGGCGCGTGCGCGGCCAGGGGACATGTGGATCGACGAAGAGGGGTCCATGGAGTCCGGGGAAACGTCATGGCCCCAGCCATGCCACCCCCGGTCGTCACGCCCCTCCTGGCCGCCCCCGATCGAATCTCGGAGGCGACGATAGGGCCGAATAGCTCTGGGGGGTGTGAGTCAGGGTGGGCAGCACACGCATTTCGCTGAGGAGCTTCGCCGAAGAAGTGGCCCTTCGGCGCCCCTGGATACCCAGAGATCCGACGCTCCAGAAAAATTGGAGCAGGCGGTTTTTGGCCGTTTACGGCCTCTGGGGGCCCTCGCCGGGCTTCGGGAGCGTCAGAAAACGGCTCAGGACAGAAAGCTGGCCCTAGGGAAGTGGTCTGGACCTCCAGGGCCCACGCATCGACAAAAATTTGAGCAGTCAGATGTCTGGGTACATGTACTGCCCCCCCACACCACCTGGGCTATTGCAACCCGCGCCTGACCTCGACAGACATCTCTGCCGCGCCCCACGAGGGCTCATCAAGCCTCTTCCGCAACGTGGCGACCCCATGGGCCCTGGAAGCGCCGATCGCAAACCACGCCGAGGCGTAACTTGAAGGCGGCCTGGGGGCCTGAACTGGCTGGGGCCCTAGCAGATCGGTCGGGAGGGGGGATGGAGCCAAACCCAGTCCAAATCGTTTTCCAGACCCCCTCCAGGGATCCACCGGGCGCAGTTCTTCCCCCACGGAGCATCTTTGTTCAGCCCTGAGGCCCGAAAACGGCCCCCAGAGGCCGAAGACGTCAAAAAAAAAACTCGAACCTGTCCGCCCTTCTGGCCCCTGACCTTCCAGAGAGCTGTTTTTTAGCACTGGAAACCTAAAAACCTAAAAAACGAAACGAAACAGCCTAAAACCAAGACGTAGAATAGCTCTGGGATAGGTTTTTACGTCGGGTGCTATTCTTTAGCCCTCCTGGAAGGTCAGGAGCTGGCCGGATCCAATGCTGGCCACCTCAGACCCCCAAACGGCTCCGGCACCCACGGCAGTCGCCGACTACGGTCTGGGAGCACCAGGAAGCACCGACACAGCCAATCTCTCTGCGGCCCTCTCCTGCGGCGCGCTCTGACTGGCATCTCGGGGCGCATCCAGCGGTGGCAACGAGGGCCTCCCAGCAGGCCACCAAAAAAGGAGAAACGAGGGAAGAGTAGCGGCGGCATGGGCACCCAGACATGCGACGTCCTGACTTGTTTCAGGACGGCGTCCCTGAAGTCACGACCGTGTCCCCGGGACCGGTCTTCCGTCCTGAGTCGTTGTTTGACGGCCCCGAGGCCCGGCGAGGGCCCCCCGGGGGCCGAAAATTGCCAAGAACCTCCCGTCCTGACTTTGTCACGACGCGATCATGTCTGGGTACCTTGCCCTCCTCCGATCGCCGCCCCCGAAAACTCCGCACCGACGTCCCTGCGCCGAGCCGGCAGGAGAGCTCAAAAATCGAATCGATCGAAATCAACTCGAACCGAATCGCAGGAGTCGACATCCGGGGATCTTCTGACCCGGGTCAATCCAAACCCGGGTCAGCAGGAAACCAAAAAACTGCAATGCAGGAACAAAAAAACTGCAACGCTGGTCTTCGCAAACCCGGGTCAGCCAATATGCGCGGCCGCCTCGCGGCCACGAGCGGCTCGCTAACCCGGGTCAGCCAGAGGAGGTCTTCGCAGGATCCTGCAAGATCTGGCGCTCTGGCTGACCCCCGTTTGCATTGACCCCCGTCTCAAGCCTCCCGAGACATGAGCCCCGGGCCGGCGCCGGCGCCGGCGCGGGGCTGGGAGCGAGGCGGCGCTGCGCGCCCGGGTCCTTGGAGGCCTGGGCGTCCGCCTCCTCGTCCCCGACGAGGGCCTCGGGGCGCCCGGGGTCTCCCGGCGCAGGAGGGAGCGAGGGAGGGAGGGGAGGCACCGTCGCGTCGAGGGAGCGAGGGAGGGAGGGGGGCAGGAGAGAGAGCGAGGGATCGAGGGAGGGAGCGAGAGAGCGAGGGAGGGAGAGAGCGAGGGAGGGAGGGAGGCACCCAGACCCGATCGCGTCGTGGGAAGAAATCTGGCCAGAAGGTGTTGGGCCACTTTCGGCACCACCGGGTGGCCCTCGCAGGGCCTCGGGAGGCCGTCAGAACACGACCCGGGACGAAAGGCCGGTCCCGGGGAAAGGGTCGGGACTTCCAGGGACGCCGTCCTGAAAAAATCAGGACGTCGCATGGAGACCGTTTTTGGGGAATCGGCGATACCCCGGGTTATCCGTGGGGGGGGGGGAAGAAGGGGCCGGCCGAGAACCTTGGGGGGAAGGGGGGGGGCCGGCCGATAACCTAACCTTCGCGCTGTGGGCAGCCCTGCATTTGCCCGCGTTCCCCCACCCCGGACCTGCACAACCAGCAAACATAGGTTCTCCGGGCGGGGGGGGGGGGGGGCAAAGCCCTAGATAACCCGGGTGATCGCCGGACCGTAAAAGAACAGTCCCACGTCTGGGGAGGGAGGGACGGAGGGAGGGACCCGGGAGGGAAGGGGAGGGAGGGAGAGAGGGAGGGGAGGGAAGGGGGGCGCCGACGGCTCGAAGGCGGATCTCTCCCAGCCGCGCGGGGAGCCAGGAAAGGGAGGGGAAAGAGGAGGGGCATGGCCGAGAATTCGCCCACATCACCGAGCCACGGAGGAGGAGGAGGAGGAAGAGGAGGAGGAGGAGGAGGAGGAGGAGGAGAGGAGGAGGAGGAGGAGGGAGGCGGGATGGAGAGACGGTTGCTGGACAAAATCATGGATCGCCCGCGCGACCGGGGCTCCGGCGTAAACTTCAACGCGCCCCCATGCCCCCGATCAAGCCTTGGTTGGCGTCGCTGGCGGGGCGCAGGATTCGGCAAGTCGATAGATCCACACATCGCGGCGCAGCCCGCCAATATTCAATTGGCGGGGGCACCCACCAGAAGCAGCAATAGAAGGTGCAGGACGTTGTCCATCAACAGGAGGGAGGGAGGGAGGGAGGGAGGGAGGGAGGGAGGGAGGGAGGGAGTGGGTGGGTGGGTGGGAAGGAGGGTTTTTTCAACGCAACGAAGCCCCAAGCCCCAGGAGCCGTACACAGTGGAATGTCCAACCGGCAAGAGCCGCACCTCCACTCCATGGAAGCAACAACCCGGAAAGGGATTGCAAAGACAGCAGAACGATGGACAGCAGCAGCACAAGCAGGGAGAGGGAAGCAAGCGGCAGGGGGGAAAGAGGAAGAGGCGAGAGCAGCACGGAGAGAGGCAGGAAAGCGAGCGAGAGAGAGGAGGCAGCAGAGCAGGAAGGAAGGAGAGCACGACAAGCAGCGCACAGCAGCACGGGGACGGGAGACAAGGAAACTGCATGTCAAATGAAACCCTGACACGGTGTCAAGAAGCGAGGTCCACCTGCCCCGCAGGCGAGCGCACCGACATCCACAGGCGGCTCAAGCCGATACAACTAATAGAACAGGGTGAGAACAGTGCTAAGTGAATCAAGACAGCAAGAAACCTGAAGCCAGGAAGCTCTAAAAGTGCACCACAATTGAAATTCAGAGGCTGCACGAGGAGAGTCGACCCCCATAAGAAAAAGGGGAGCAACCCCGCCCGGGGGAGCCAAACCCCACATGCACGCCTGGGCCAGACTGCAGCGCCACCCTGGTAAAGGAAGCGTCGTCACATCAAAAAGCACATGCAAAGAGAGGGAAAGAGGAAGAGAAAGGGAGAGAGAAAGAGATAAAGCCCTCGCGCAGCCGCCCTCAGATCACGGTGAAGGCGCTGATGCTGGCGTCGGGGCTGGCGTCGGAGCTGGTGCGGGCGACGGAGTTGGTGCCGGCGCAAGCGCAGGTGCTGGTGCCGTCGTTGGTGTTGGTGTAGGCGCTTGCGTCGGCGCTTGCGTAGGCGCCAGCGTTGGGGCTGAGGTCGTCCCTGTTATATGGCGGCTCCAATGGCCTCCGCCACGCCAATAACGCATAGATGTAGCGGCCAAATAGAAGTAGCAGAAAAAACTGTACACCTTCTCTGTCGCAACCTGCCATGTTTGCGTCGATGCTGGCGTCGGCGCTGGCGTAGGCGCTTGTGCTGGTGCCGGTGTAGGCGCTGGAGTAGGTGAAGGCGCAGGTGCTGGCGTCGGCGCTGACATACTGCCCATTTGCCGTACAATATCGGATAGGCCAGAACATCCCAAATAGAGGGAGCAGAACAGCTTCACAGCTTCTCTGTCACAACCCGCCATGCTGGCGTTGGTACTGGCGTCGGCGCTGGTGTCGGCGCTTGTGTTGGTGCGAGCGGAGGCGCAAGCTTTGATGTGGGCGCCGGCGCTGACGTCGGCGCTGAAGTAGGCGATGGCGTTGGTGCCGGCGTATTCGCAGGCATTGATGCTGGCGTCAGTGCTGGTTTCGGGGCTGGCGTAGGCTCTGGCGCTTGGGCTGGCGTCGTGCTGGCGTCGGCGTTGGGGTGGGCGCTGGTGTTGGTGACAGCGTAGGCGCAGGCGTTGGTGCTGGCGTCGGTGCTGGCGTTGGCTCTGTCGTAGGCGCTGGCGTTGGTGCCAGAGTTGGAGCAGGCGTTGATGCTAGCGTCAGTGCTGGCGCCGGCGCTTGCGTAGGCACCGGTGTCGGAGCTGGCGTCGAGGCTGGCATCGGTGCTAGGGTAGGCGCCGGCGTTGGCGCAGGCGCAGGCGCAGGCGCTGGCGTTGGTGCTGGCGTCGGTGCGGGCTTCGGCGCTGGTGTGAGCGCCGGCCGGCGTTGGTGCCAGTGTTGTGGACCTGAGGCTGCATGGGCAGCGACAATTGTGGCTGCTGGGCTGGGCTGCGCTGCTGTCGCAAATGTCGGTCGTCTCCATCTCGGTGGTGGTCAGTTCCACCTCGGTGGTGGTCAGCTCCTGATCGATCGTCTCTTTCTCGGCAGTGGTCGTTTCCACCTCGGTGGTGGTCATCTCCAGCGCACCGTGTAGCTGGGCAGCTAACCGGTGCGCTGCGTCCTGGCGACGGTGCTGGTGTAGGCGTCGGCGTTGGTGCCGGCGTAGGCGCCGGCGTTGGTGCTAGCGTAGAGGCTGGCGTCGGCGCTGGTGTATGCGCTGGCGTTGGTGTCGGCGTCGGCGCAGGCGTTAGTGCTTGCGCTGGTGCGCACCGGTTAGCTGGTGGGCAGCTAACCGATGCGCTGCGGCCTGGTGTCGGTGCTGATGTAGGCGCCGGCGCTGGTGCCGGCGTAGGCGCTGGCGGAGGTGGTGGTCACCTCCTGATCGGTGATCTCCGTCTCGGTCGTGGTCCTTACCACCTCGGTGGTGGTTAGTTCCTGATCGGCCGTCTCCATCTCGGTAATGGTCATATCCACCTCGGTGGTGTCAGCTCCTGGAAGCCGTGACACGTCCTGTCGGGTATTCCGTGACATCAGGAAGCCCCCAGTGCGACGAGCGTCAAATCAATGGTCATGGCAAGTCTGATGTATCCATGAAGGTGGTAGTGACGTAGGCGCTGGCATAGGCGCCGGCGTTGATTCCGGCGTCGGTCCTGGCGTCGGCGCAGACGTAGGCGCCGACGTAGGTGCTGGCGACGGTGCTGGCGTCTGTACTGGTGCAAGCGCTTGCGCTGGTGCTGGTGCCGGCGTAGGCGCAGGCGTTGGTGCTGGCGTCGGTGCTGATGTCGGCGCTGGCGTAGGCGCTGGTGCCGGCGTAGGCGCAGGCGTTGATGCTGGCGTCGGTGGTGGCGTCGGCGCTGGCATAGATGCCGGCGCAAGTGCTGGCGTCGGTGTTGGCGTCGGTGCTGATGTAGGCCCTGGCGTGGGCTACGACTGAAGCGCCATTGTTGGCGCTGGCGTCGGTGCTCTCGTCGGCGCTGGTGTAGGCGCAGGCGTTGACGAACGTTTCGGTGCTGATGGGCGCTGGCGCTGGTGCCGGTGCAGGCGCTGGCGTTGGTGCTGGCGTAGGTGCCGGTGTTGGCGCTGATGTGAGCGCAAGCGTTGATGCTAGCGTCGGTTCTGTCGTAGTCACTAGCGCTGGTGCCGGTGTAGGCGCTGGCGTTGGTGCTGGCGTAGGTGCTGGTGTTGGTGCTGGTGTCGGTGCTGGGCGATCTTACTCCCAAGACTCACCGTGTAGTCGAAAGCGTTGGTGCTAGCGTCGGTGCTAGCGTAGTCGCTGGCGCTGGTGCCGGTGTAGGCGCTGGTGTTGGTGCTGGCGTAGGCGCCGGTGCTGGGTGCCGACATGATGGAAAGAATTTCGGCCACGTTCGTATGACAGCCTTCCACAGGTGATGGCTGTCGGGGGTGTCGTGGTGCGGCCTGGATTCACGGATGGGCCGGTACACCCAAAGAGCGATCTTACTACCAAGACTCACCGTGTACTCGAAAGCGTTGATGCCAACGTCGGTGCTGGCGGAGGCGCTGGCGCTGGTGCCGGTGTAGGCGCTGGCGTTGTGCTGGCGTAGGTGCCGGTGTTGGGTGCAGACATGATGGGAGGAATTTCGGCTACGCTCGTAGGACAGCGTTCCACAAGTGATGGCTGTCGCGGGAGTCGTGATGCGGCCTGGATTCACGGATTGGCCGGTACACCCAAAGAGCGATCTTACTCCCAAGACTCATCGTGTAGTCGAAAGCGTTGGTGCTAGCGTCGGTGCTGGCGTAGTCGCTGGCGCTGGTGCCGGTGTAGGCGCTGGTGTTGGTGCTGGGTGGGCTGGTGGGCGGGTGGGCGGGTGGGCGGATGGGCGGGTGGGCGGGTGGGTGGGTGGGAGGGATCAGATCAGCCCATGCGCGGCGCACGGGCTCTGCGGACGACGCGCGCGACGACGACGAAGGCGGCCCCCAGGCGGGTGCCCCTCGCACCAAGCCCGCGCCGCCGCGCACCGGTGTCCGCCCCCTCAGTCCACCAGCGGGTGAGCGCTGGGCCGAAGCACCGCCAGCACCGGGGAGGGGTGTACAAGGATTTGCTCGCTCCTCGAACCAAGCGATGCCAGTGGTCAAACGGAGGGGTTGCAAGGATAACCCCGAACCTCCCGCAGCGGAGGGGGGGGGAAAGAGGCCAGCGGCAGGCGGGGGGGAGGGAGGAAGGAGGACCCGGCGCTCAGGGACGATGAGGCAAGGATGAGGAGGAGGAGGAGGAGGAGAACAACGACGACGAGGAGGAAGAAGACGAGAAGTAAAATAATAAGAAATATATGCAGAAGGGAGAGAAGGAGGAGGAGGAGGAGGAAGCGGAGGAGGAGCAGCAGCAGCCGCAGCAGCAGCAGGAGCGACCGCGAGGGCAGAAGCGACAGGGAGAAGGGAGGAGAGAGGTGCGCTCCGATGCCCGTCTTCCCACGTCGGGCTCAGCGTGGCGGATTCCAGACACCCTGCACCCAAAAATGTTGTCATCTCCTGGTCTCCCGCGGGCACATTGTTTACTTCCGCCACCTTCCGCCGCCCTTCTGCTGGCTTCCGTCGGCGGAGGCGGCCTCGCTTCACTTCCGCCGACCTTCCGCCGACCTTCCGCCGCCTTCAGCCAAGGAAGAGATGACAACTCCCTCGATCCCCGAAGACGAACGCCTCATGCAGATAAACTTTCTGTGCGGCCCTGGGATTCAGGGCCGATGCTGTTCCCTTCTTCGAGACGCACCGAGAGGCAGGGCGAGTGTGACAGTTTCCGTTGCCGTTTCCGTACCAACATGTCGGTGTCGCTGCTCCTGCCACGAGGGGACGACGACACGCAGGACTGCCCTGCTCTATGCGCACAGCTTCCGCACGGCCAGGCGCGGCCGTCTGCAAGCGGCAGCAGCCGCACCCCTCCGAGAAGGTCTGGGGCCCCGGTTGAGACTTCCACGGTGTGGCAATGTCTGTCGCGCAGCGCCGGATCTCAGAGCCAGCCGCAGCGAGGGTGACCGTCGCGGGGCCAGATTGCGAGTGCTAGCGAATCCACGGGGCATGCAGCTCCATCGTTGAGCCTCGGCACACTTCACGTGACGCCCTCCATGGTAGCACGGCTGATTCGTTCAAACTTCAGCGCCACCAGGCACACTGGCGAATGCCATCATCAGCGCCAACAGCCGACAACGGCACTGCAAGCAGCTTGCTTGAGACTGTCAGCAAGCAATGCATACGTCGAAGTCGTTGGGAATGTTCCACGGTGAGCAGCGCCCCGCAGGCTCAAGTCACTCCCACGCTCCGGCTGGTTTACCGAGCACCGTGGCGGAAGAGGAGCAGAAGAAAGGGAGAACAACGACGACGACGACAACGACGGCGACGACGACGACGAAGACGACGACGACGCGACGCCAACGACGACGACAACGACGACGAATACGACGATGACGATGACGAATACGACGACGACGACGACGACGACGACGACGACGACGACGACGACGAGCAGGAACAGGAGGTTGAAGACGACGATGGCAACGATGATGACGAGGCGAAGGACAACGACAAGGGCGACGTCGAGGGCAACCAGGTCCAGGTTCAGGTCAGGCATGTCCCCATGTCCCCCTGCAGGCGGATTTGGGACCAACAAAAAACTGCTCAAAAATAAACAAAAAATAATCAAAGCATCGTCACCAGACTATTGTAAAACTATGTTTGCATACTCTCCTGTAGAGGGACATGCCCGACTTCAGTCCAGGTCGAGATCGAGGCCGTGGACGAGGACGCCGCCGCCGCCGCGCCCTCCGCGCCGCAGCCGAGAGGCGCCCGCGGGTCGCTTGTGATAGCCCTGAGGCCCGAAAGCGGACCCTGGAAGCCGAGAATCGCAAAAGGCGACTGGACGTCTGGGTAGTTTTGTTGTTGCTTCTCTCTCTCTCTCTCTCTGTCGCTCAATCCCTCTCTCTATATGTCTACATAAATATATGTATCTCTTTCTTCCTCTCTCTCTCTCTCGCTGTTCCTCTCTCTCTCTTTTTCTTGTTCTCTCTCTCTCTCTCTCTTTCTCTCTATCTCCCTGTCTCTCTATGTCTCTGTGTCTCTATGTCTATTTCTTGTTTCTCTCTCTCTCTCTATATATATGTGTATGTATCGCTCTCTCTCTCTCTCTCTCTCCCTCCCTCAGAATTCAGGAAGGCGCTCTGACCAGGATCTCGATGCGCATCCAGCCGTGGCAGCATGGAGGCCCACTAGCGGCCCCATGAAGGCCAAAAACACTCGGATCACCCATCCTCGTTGTCCTCCTTCAAGAGGGCCCTTGGAGGCCCCGGGAGAAGTCCCATGAGGCTCCGAGGCCGGAGCAGGGCCGAAACGTCTGTCAACATGAGAAGAAGAAGAAAAAGAAGGCAAGGCAAGGCAAGGCAAGGCAAGTCAAGGCAAGGCAGGGCAGGGCAAGGCAGGGCAGGGCAGGGCAGGGCCAGGCAGGGCCAGGCGCGCCCGAGTCCGTCGGGGGGCGGGCCCTGGAAGGCCGGCGCGGGCGGGCTGGGGCCCTCGGCCGCAGATGCCGAGCGCGCGGTCGGCGCTGTGCGAGGCGTGGGAGCGCCTGTCTCAAAGCTGCTCCACCGAGTGCCGTCCTGGGCCGGCGCGGGACCATCGTCCGCTGCCGGGTCGGCGAAGCATTAGGGGAACGGCGCCGGAGGCGCCGCCAGGGGGGTCCAGCGCCGATCCGAGAAATCCGCGCGGACCTCCGAGTTTTATGTTTATGTCACCTTTTGTTCCCCTGCAGAAGCTATGTGGCATCGTCTTCCCGCCGCCTCCTCCGACCCCCGCGACTGCGGACTGCCTGCCGGTGGTCGCGGATGCCCGGCTCCCGCGTCGCAGCAGGTCGGGCCCACGTGTTGCACGGTTGACTTGCGGCTCGCCCTGCCCACAGCCATGTTCGTCGAAGGTACACCGTCGCCCACTCATCGACGCGTGCTCTTTTTGCTAAATAACAAAGAAGAAGCGTAAGAAAAAAAGAAGAAGGATAAGAAGAAGAATAAGAAGAAGAAGAAGAGGAGTAATTCTCACGTAGAAACAGCAAGACTAGTACGAAGGGAAAAGACAAAGAGGGTGATTGAAAAACACAGAGAGAGAGGGGGGGAATAAAGATAAAAACACCACAACAACAACAACAACAACAACAACAACAACAACAACAACAACAACAACAACAACAACCACAAAACATAGACAGAGACAGAGACAGAGACAGAGAGGCAGAGATGGGGGGGGAGAGAGAGAGAGAGGGAGAGAGAGAGAGAGGGGGATGTGACAACTCCCCCACTGCCTGTCCCCCCTACTCCGCCGCGTCCGCGCGCCACCGCAGACCGAGCCAGCGGCGTTGTACGCCAGCTCGAACGGGTCGCTGTCGCTGGTGATCGTCCACATCGACCCGCCGCCGGACCCGTCGGCGCCGCCCGCAGGGCCGTCGGCCAGCAGGGACGCCCTGGAGACCTCGCCAGGCCGAGGAGCCGAGGATGGAGGAGGAGGGAGGAGGGACGAGGGGGGGCAGGGAGGGAGGGAGGGAGGGAGGGAGGACGGAGAAGGGAGCAGGAGCCGAGGAGGAGTTGAGAAGGAGGGAGGGAGGGGACGCGGATGTTGAACGATTTCCTCCCCACTCTTGGCTTCCAGAGCCTCCTCCTGGGGACCTCCAGGGGCAACAACGAGCCCTCGGGGGCCTGTCCAGGCATCCTGTAGTTCTTGCCCTCTTGTTGCCCGCTGCTTCCTCCCTCGCGAAGGAGGAGGAGGAGGAGGAGGAGGAGGAGGAGGAGGAGGAGGTCGAGGAGGAGGGGAAAAAGAGGAGAAGGGGGAGGAGGAGGAGGAGGGAATGCAGGAGGAGTGAGGAGGAGGTGCGTCCAGGAGTAGACTTCGGTAGGCGGAGAAGGAGGAGTCAGTGAACTGTATGGCGGCAGGTGAGGAACCAGTCGGAGGAAGTAGGCAGAGATGAAGGAAAAAAAGGGAAGAGCAGAGTAAGAGGAATATGTTAGTAGGAGGAAGGAGGATGAAGGATATAATTAGGTGGGGAGGAGCTCCCTCCCCCCTCCCACTCTCCCCATGGGAGGGGACGGGGCGAGGTTCCTGGGAGCCTCAGTTCGGTACACCCCTCACGCACTTCGTGCTATCCCCTCAGAAATGTGGCATGCGAACCAAGATGATTGAGGGAGGCTTCAGGTCAGGTCGGCGCACCCCTCACGCACTTCGTGTCTGGCGAACCCCCGAAAGCCTGGTGTCAGTTCCTAAGACCCGACTCCCCAAAGGAAGCCAATATCGCATCAAAAGCAGCACTGCAACGATCGGTAACAACCCTCGTCGAAGCCTGACACGTCGGACGAAAGAAAAAGGTAAAAACAGGCACATCAAGTAGATTGGATTCAGGCCCTCTCAGATAATAACAAAACGCAGCAAAAGCATATAGATGATTGAAGTAGGACGGCGCTTGAAATTGATTGGGATCTGGGAATCCAAAAATACCTACTTTCAACGACAGTTGTGCAACCCCGGACACCTACTGGTTGCGAGATTCGCGCGCTTGTTTCCCGCTCTGCGGGGGGGGCCGCCGTGACTCCCGCTCTGCGGGTTCCGTGACAACTCTTGCTGGGAGCCGGCCCAGACCGCCGTGTGGGCCCCACAGATCAGGACCTCATGCCAGTGGCCAGCTTTCCGTCGTGGGTCGCTATTTGATGGCTCCAGAAGATCAGAGATGATCCCTAGAAGGTGACACCATGAAAACCATCAGTCGTGAGTCCTTCGCGACGCCTGGAGGATAAGGTCTCCTCCTCCTCCTCCTGGTCTTACTCGTCCTCCTCCTCATCCTTCTCAGAATCGGCCGCGGGACCTTCCCTCGGAGCGCGTTCCCATTAGAAATCCCACCAACCCTCTGGGCGAAGGTGGTTCCTCGAGATGTGCGTTCTTTGCGTTCTTTCTTCCACAACCCCCTTCCCCCCCCTGCTCGCGGGAAGGGTTTATCACTGTTCCCTATTAATGTACACCCCCTCCCCCACCCGGCAGGCGGCCAACCCGGAACCATGCCAATCCCATGAGGGCCACCCCCCCCACCATCCCTGTCAGAAAACAAAACAAAACGTACTCTGCCTCCACATTTGGAGCATGCGCGGCCAACCCGATGCGCCCCCCCCCCACACCATCCCTGTCAAAGACAACACGAAGTACACTTTAGGGGAAAAGTCTTGAGTCATGTTCGTGAGACCCGCGAGCACTGTGTATTGTTTTGGACAGGGACGGCGGGGGTGTCAGCATATTCCCTGCTGCGCGCAGCGCTACATCCCTCACAAAAAAAACAATACAAAATGCACCTCGCGGCTAAATCTGGATCATGCGCGGCCACCCCTCGATCACTGCCAAATGGTTTTTGACAGGGACGACAAGGGTGGTGGCGCGTGGCCTGCTGTGCGCAGGCCCACCAGACACAATGATGGGCATTGACTTTCGACAAGGGTGGTGGGGGCCGACATGGTTCCCGATGTGTGCTGTCACTTGCGCAGGCGCACCTGACGCACTCTGCACGTGCCCTGAGCGTGGCGCACCTGTCGCGCCTGGAGTGTGCGGCACACCTGGCGCACTCGGAGCACGTGGCGCATCTGCCGCACCAGGCGTGCCTGGCACGCTCGAGCCCCAGGGATGCCTGGCGCGCGAGACGCCCCTGGCACGCGTGTGGCACCTCGCCCAAGCGTTGCGCACCTCGGGTCGGCTTTGGTTCCCAGTAGCTGCCCATCCAAAGACGACCGATGAACATGCTCAGGCTCGGGTGTTACGTATGTGTTTGGAGGGCGGGCGGAAGTGAGCTAGACGGCTTGCGGGCGGGTGGCTAGCTTGACCCCTTCCCCTACCCCCTACCCTGAGCCTGGGACGGGGGTGGGCGAGGGGTTAGCGCGTCCAAGTTTGCCCAAGATGGCCTTAAGAAACCCTCGGCAGCCCAAGACGGCCTCCAAGATGGCAAGACTGCCGAAAATGGCTCAAGATAGCTTCCGACATACCTCCAAGATGCTCCAAAACAGCCCCAGGAGGGTTCCAAGTGCCCGTCGAGCCTTCCTGGGCACCCTCCAAGAAGCCAAAGTCCTTCAAACACCTGAGGACATCAGTGTTGTTTGCATTCTTGGTGCTTCGTTTCCGATGGGCTTCTGGGGCCTCAAGATATCCCCAAGATGGCCCAAGAGAGCCCCAAGAGAGATTCAAGAGGGCCCCAAAACAGCCCCAACCAAGAGCAACCCAGAGACGCCCACGAGCGGCCTAAGAGGGCCACAAGAGGCTATGTATGGGCATCCGATGGGGGGAGCTAGATTAATCCCCCCTTGTTGAGCCTTGGGGGCCAAGACGGCCCCAAGAGACGTCACAGATCTCAAGTTTGCAGGGTCGTTGCAGGGTCTTTGGAAGGACCCCCCTCCCCTGCATCAACCCTGCAAAGCCCCTGCGAAGACCCTGCAAAGAGGGGGGGTCCTTGTTTGCTGCTATGGAGCGTTAAGCCCCACTGTTTAAAAAGAGGGGGATACGACAGTCAAGTGCCCCCGCCCCCCCCCCCACACACACACAAACACACACACACACACACACACACACACACACAAACACCAACACCAACACAAACACAAACACAAACACACACACACACACACACACACACACACACACACACACACACACGAAAGCGCCAAGCTCGTGCCGCGTCCC